GAGTGTGTCAGCACTGCCTCCCCCCCCCCCACTAACAGCTGAAATCACTAAAGAGCTAAAGTTACTAAAGAGCTGAAATCACTGAGAGCTGTGTTAAGGGAGGGTGAGGGGGAGCTGAAGACATATTGGTTAGCGGCCAGCAGGACTGCTGGCGGAGAGGAGCAGCTGGTGGTGAAAACTGTAGCAGAACCCTGTGGAGAGGCGTGGCAATCGATGGTCGACCCGAGTAGTTGAGCATGTAAGCTGACCCCCATACCTTCCTCCACTTCCACCCAGGCTGGGAGGTAAACTCTGCAGATGAACTTCTGAACTCTGGGGGCTGCACTGACCAAGGACAGAAACTGTGGGTAGGGGTGACTGTTGGATTGCTGTACTTAAGACCCTGAGGGGGAAAAGGACACTGCCAAACTTACTTGGGGGTAGGTCTTTTGCTCATCGTTTGCGTTATGAATCCTGTTTGTGTGATGTTTCCCCAACATAATGCTGCAATGTTTCCCTCCTTTATTAAAAGGCTTTTGCTACACTCAGGCTCTGTGCTTGCAAGAGGCGCTTAGGGGGCTGGTATGTAATTGTCCCAGGTCACTGGGTGGGGGCTTGAGCTGGTTTTGCATTCTGTTATTGAAACGGAACCCCTAGATACTGAACCTGGCCCTTGTTGCTGCCAACTCTGACGGGCAGAAGGGTTACATGTAGGCTTGGGAGAATAAGATTTTTATTTTTTACATGAGATTCTAGGAGCATTACCTCAAGTGGCCAATCCGGCACTGTTTCGCTTGTGACATTGGCCAGCTGGTGGACAACTGAGTCTATGGGTGTATGCAGTATCCACATATTAACATGTACTGAAGTGCTTTACAAGTGGAGCCAGCTACAGAGCTAAAGTAACTAGGATCACAAGATATCAATTTGTTTCATTCTGAAGCCCACAAAAGCACTTTGGTGCAGTTAAAGTATCTGAATGCTCTAGGTCAAGGGAAAAATAACGACAGGAAGAGGGGGAAAAAATAGGAGGAGACAATAAAAGAGAAGGGGAAAGAAAAGAATGGGGCTGTTAATGTTAGCAACTCACATAACTGGAGAATTGTGTGCAAAGTGTACTGATGAATTATCAAAATCTCTTTAATAGTCTGCTAGACCATGCAGTGAACTTGTATTTAAACCCTTAAAAAACCTAAAGAAATAATCCTCTGATCCTATCCACACACTAAGATATTCCTTTACTGCTGGCAGTCAGACAGCATTACCTACAGCTTTCTTAAAGAGATGTTGTCAATTTGAAATTTAGTGAATTAAAATAAAAACTTAGAAGTATTTTCAGATACCATATCTACCCCATGCCCACTCAGAACAGGTATAGTATTTACAGGAATTTAAAAATAAGGGGTGTGGGGTTTTGTTTAGTCATATTTTTAATTACTAGATTTCCAGTTGATATTTCATATAGTCCAATATGCATGAAGTAATAGCCTTCTATGGGCTCAAAGTTTACCAGTTACAGAGAGAGTCCAACTTCCACCATTAGGACTACCAACAACCCAACAGACCAAACCTGCATACAACTACACTGGACCCTCGCTAGAACACAGGATTTGGGATCCATGTACTGTACCACGGGGACTGCGTTAAAATGAATTGCAATTAAAGTAATTAAATTTGGGATCCATGGCTGCGACTGCATTATATGCGAATTCGCGCTATGTAGATGCACGTTCTTCCGAGGGTCCGGTGTATATATTTTTTAAATTTCCAAATAAAAATGCTTCTTTAAGCTGGAGTTGCAGTTTTATGTACATAAAAACAGCCAAAATCCAGGAGATTCAAAGTTAAACTTCTCATTCAAAGTGTATTTAAATATATAAAGAGAACAGAAACAGAGTTTGGTATCAAACACTCTTAAATCTGCAACCCTGTCCATCCACAACGTAAGCTTTGTATGTGTATGAGATCGGTATCACAGTTATCTATTCATTCAGGCTCTTATACTGGTGCTCAATTGTAATATGACCTAACATTTTAAGCTTTGGCTATTTTTCCAATTCAACCAGAAACATCTAAACACCAGAGTTCATGAGCTTTAAATTTATGGTTAAACTACGTCAGTGATTTATGGAGCAGAGCATACATATCCTAAATGCGCATATAAATTGAGTTTATGAGGTTTCCAGCCACAGGCAGCCCTAACTACTGCGCACAGAAACAGGTTAAAATGGTTACAAGAGTACCACAGCATTAAATGAGAAAAGTATATTAGAAAGGGAAGAAGTTAGTTGGTCTTTGGTTTATAAGCGTGTGTTAATACCTTGCATTTATATAGCAGCTTCTATCTGAAACTCTCAACATGCTTTATGAATTTCAGTTAATTTAACCTCCCAGCACATCTGTAAAACATCTTTGACCTTCCATTTTTCCACGTGTGAAGAGGAAATAAGCAATTTCCCCGTAGGAACTCAGTGTTGGAATAATGTGACTCCACACCACTCACTCCATCCATTAAGTAATCTGCACTGTACCCAGGCATGCAACCTAAAAACCAAGGCCAGAAAGGTTTGCATTGAGGAAACCTACACATGTACTACACACACCCCTCTGTCTCTAGCCATGAATCCTGAGAGAGGAGCCAGTCAGACACTCAACTAGCACAAATCTAGAGGAGGTGAAACAGCTGACCCACATTATGTGATTTTGGAAGTTGTACATGCAGTTATTTGTATTTTAAGAAAACCTAAAGACGTTAACCAAGATCGGGGGCCATTGTGATAGACTAGTGCAGGGGTTGGCAACCTTTCGGAAGTGGTGTGCCGAGTCTTCATTTATTCACTCTAATTTAAGATTTCACGTGCCAGTAATACATTTTAATGTTTTTAGATGGTCTCTTTCTATAAGTCTATAATATATAACTAAAATATAGTATGTAAAGTAAATAAGGCTTTTAAAATGTTTAAGAAACTTCATTTAAAGTTAAATTAAAATGCAGAGCCCCCCAGACCGGTGGTCTCTGGCATGCGTGCCATAGGTTGCCTACCCCTGGACTAGTGCTTGAAGGGTTTCCCTTGACACCCATCTGCCCAGTGAGTAAGCCCATTACCTTGGGTGAAAAGGTACCTATAACACAGGGGTGGGCAAACATTTTGGCCTGAGGGCCACATCTGGGAATTGAAGTTGTATGGTGGGCTATGCATGCTCACACAATGGGGGTTGGGGTGCTGGAGGGGGTGAGGGCTCCAGGGTGGGGCCAGAAATTGAGTTCAGGGTGCAGAAGGGAGCTCGCACTGGGGCAGGGGGTTGGAGTGCTGGAAGGGGTACAGGCTCTGGTTGGGGGTGCGGGCTCTGAGGTGGAGCTGGGGATGAGAGGTTTGGGGTGCAGGAGGGTGCTCTGGGTTGGGATAGAGGGGTTTGGAGGGCAGGAAGGGGATCAGGGCAGGGGGTTGGGGCACAGGGAGAGGATCGGGGTGCAGGCTTACCTCAAGTGGCTCCCGGAAGCAGCGGCAGTTCCCTTCTCTGACTCCTATAGGGAGGTGCAGCCAGGCACCGCCCCTGCAGCTCCCATTGGAGCGCCGGCGGGGGCCATTGGAGTGGGTCCATTGGAGTGCGTAGGAGCCGAAGTGGGGCTATGCCACAGCTTCCGGGAGCTGTGTGGAGCAGGGCCATGCCATGGCTTCCAGAGCCGTGTGGTGCAGCCCCCAACCCTGTGCCCCGGCTGGAGCGGGGCCATGCTGCGGCTTCCAGGAGCCAAATGGTGCAGCCCTCAAATCTGGGTCCCGGTTGGAGTGCTGGAGCGGGGTAAGCCCCAGATCCTGCTCCCTAGCGGGAGTTCACAGGTCAGCTTAAAAAGGCTTGCAGGCCGGATCTGGCCTGTAGTTTGCCCACCTCTGCTATAACACCATGTTCCTGGAAAACATTTCTCCCTACCAAAATCAAATCAATTTCTTCTCTCCCACCCCTCTAATCCCCACTCCCGTCTCATCTCTCTTAGCATTGTCCTTTTCACTTTCATATACACCAGCACACAAAGTTTCCAGACTCCTTAGCAAGCCTATAACTCATCCAGTTGTATTCTCAATCTTTATTGCCAAAAGAAGCAGGAGAGGGGAAAGAAAATGTAAGCACCATGACCAGACAATGAGTATATTGGCCAGGAATTGGGTTTCTCCCTGATACCTGGCTGAAAAACTCCTCTATTTTGTACTTCTCTTAAGACTAGAGAGTCAACTTCTAAGATATCTATTTGTTGCAAACAAAAATGGGTACTGTATAGTAGAAATCTCATTTGCTCTGAATAGCAGTTATGTTCAAACAGTAAACAACCAGCTGAAGAAATAAGATGCGGATATATCCTGCCTGTGTGATAGCCTGCTCGTTGCACTCTTCCATGCTTGCTTATGTTATGTATACTCTTGTAACAGTGATGGAACGGGGGGTGGGGATGAAAAAAATCTAATGTCTTTAAAAATCATTTTACAGCTTTTTAGTGTTTGTGTTAGATTAATCATAATTCTATGGTTATTGCATGATATCACTACAGGGCAGAGGTAAGGTTGTTTGGGTGCCTTAACTGTTTGTTTCTTTCTTTAAGATGTTGGGATTTCTTATGTGTAACCTTAACTCTAAATTCCCTAGGGTTGTACAGCTTGGTTTAAAGATAAAGAAATAAAAATTGGAGATGTTGTTAGTTAATACAAGTTAATGAAACATTTTCTGCCTAGTAATATGAACAGGTTATTGGCAACATGCTTCTTGAAAATTTATAAGGATTTTTTATTGCAGTCTTCTAATGCTTGTTTAATGTGCATTCTTCTATTGTAATATGAGTGTCCTCTCAGACAACTACCATAAAAGAACAGTCTATGGTAACTTAATCATGTCTTCTCCCTCCAGTTATATCTTTGGCCTGGTTTGAATAATCTGAACTTTATAACCTTGTAGATAAGGTATTTTGTGTAGTAGACCCAGTTGTAGTCCTTGTAACCAATTTTTCCCCCACCTCCCTCTTTTTATGGAAGGAAGCAGAGAAATTCTACATTTGAACATTGGTTGGACAAACTGGCCAGCCACCTGTTAGCCAGACGCACACTGTTGGTGCTTCTTGTGAGAAGCCAAACATTCTTCCTCCCCACTGGTTGCTAGGAAAGGAAATTGCTTCAGGTAAGTGGAGGGGAGCTGCTGTTACGCCTCACTGTTTATATTGGTCTTGGCTTGTAAGTGTCTGAAAAGTTTGGAGTCGCTTCTGCTGTTGGTTTGGGGTTCTCTCTTTCTTCTACTGGCATCAGTATCCTACTTGCGTGTGAAGCATCCTATTCTTTCTCTCTATTTAAATTTTTGATCCTCCTTTCTCTCCTACAGATCACTTTATACCTCTTCTGCTGTTCATCAGCTAGCTGCATAACAAAACTGGAAGTTTTGTTACTGCCTGTTATCTTCAAGTGGTAGTGATAATAACAAGATCTTGTAAACTTGAGGGCTAGTACGCAGCAGAGAGAGTTTCTCACCCACAAATCGCAAGAGGATAAGTGCCTTTGTTTTCCGAACATACTGTTTGAGTTTGTCTTGTACTTCAGTGCTTTATAACAAACATATGGCCTCTCAGAGAACTCTCCTTTGTATTATAGGGGGTCTCACTCACATTTTATCTCAGATAGAATCACTGAGATTCAGTTTATGGTCCTATAAACTGCAACCTTAATTGCTTAGAGGCACCATATAAGTCTGAGAGAGACTCCGAGGACACTATGTACTTAAAAGGATAGGAAAACTAAGCTATTGGCATGCTGTGGTTTCTGTCCAAGAAATATTTTCAGGTCCTACTTAAATAAGAATACCAAACACTTTGTTTCTGAGGCTGCATCTTGATTTCTAGTCTCAAAATTAAGAACATGAAGCGGCCATCAAGAAAAGGAGGTATAATGTGGCATCTCAAATTTTTTTAAGAAATTTGGAAAAACGTACATATCTGGCTCCAGGAGATGCCTAAGCAGGTAGCTTTCTTCTCTGGACATATCGCGCAAGTTGTTCATGATACATGCATTATGATAAAATTACTGATTTTCAATATCTTATCAAAGTCTGTATTCCCTGAGATTAGCATGATTAAACTATAATTTAAGACCTTACTGCATGCTTACTGTATTTTCAGTATTCTATTAATTTTGCTCCGTTCCTCAGGCCCTATATGTTGAATTGGGAACAGAATTACCTTTTTTCTTCCGTGTACCAAGTACTCTTTATGAAATCACTTGTATTTAAAACTTCCAATGCAGAGATTCTGAGCACTATAATATGATGGTAGCACTTCATTGTACAGCAAGACAATACATTGCTAATAAGTCTTAATTTTTTAAATGTGTTTTACAGGTTATCCGAGATGGTGAATTGAAGAACTAAGTTTTTTCCAAGATGAACAAAGTAAAAACAACATCAGAGAAAAGGTAAATGCAGCAGTATATAGACTTCTTGAAGTTCAACCTAGTTGCTTTTCCTTGTAACGGATCTTGAGAACTTTACATTTTAAGGAAGCATAATACATTAAAAAAAAAAGGGGGCAAAAAATACAAAACCAATTATGTGGGTCCATAGGGCTACAGTAGTAATCAAACAGTTACTGTAACCTCTTCATATAAAAATAGCTTTAATTAAATGAATTATTTTCTTTTAAATAGTAACTGATTTGGCATTATTTTCTCTTTCGTATTGATCAGCATAGTGAAATGGATAATAGATGCCATCACCCTCTTAAGTGCATTTTTGTCATATTTGAATTAGACTTACTATATGAATAAACACTTTCAAAATTGCATTTAATTTCTTTGAAAGAAGTAGTAATAAATTAGCACAACACTAAATATTTTGGAAGACAGTCATGCAAAAATGCACATCAAACTGCATGCTTACCTTTGTGCATGCAGTTATCCGAACTGCGCATGCAAAAATGGTCATTTGGACACCTGTTACCTGAAATGCAACCATAGTAATTAACCTTGCAAATACTGTATAGGAAAACTATTACCTGCCTGTATTTGAGCACATCTCTGGGATTCCATCTCCGAATTTGTCTTGAATAGCAATCCTTCAAAGTATTGCATAACTACAAATATGAACAGAAGCACCAACTTCAGTGGGGCCATACGCATGTATAGAGAGAGGTGCTCAAGACTGTCTATATTCCGAACTAAGGGGGTGATTCCCCTGTTCGTGTACATATGTTTGCATCGCTCTCATCAAGCTAGCACAAGTATAAATATCAGTGTAGCTGCAGTAGCATGGGTAGTGGCTGTAGAGGCACAGCTTAGCTGTGCAAAGTACATACCTACTGATTTCCGGCAGGTTTGTACTCGGCACAGCTAAGCCATGTCTCTCCTGCTGCTACTTTTGGATCCAGGGCTATGCTGCTATTTATACTTGTGCTAGCTCAATGAGAGATAGCAGGGGAATCGCACCCTTAGCTTGTAGTGTAGAGGTAGCTTAAGTGGTTGCAAAATCATAGCCTTGACTTTCTTTTGTTTATACCAAGTACCTACGAAGAAGCTTCTGGGCATAGGGGTGACAGCAGTGGAAGCAAGCATACAGGCAATTGAGTATACAGTACTAGAAAATTTCAACAGTATTAAACTTTTCTCCAAGCATTTCAAAAGCAAAACCCCTGCCCATTCACCCCATCCTTTTTGGCATAACCTCATCCCATCCATTTTGGCAAAACCTTTCTCAGATAGCAATTTCAGTCAGGCAGGTTTCATGCTCATGAATGGTTATTGCTGAAGGAATAAAGTGTAATTTTATAAATCACATACATGAGACAAATTTACATGTTGGGTTACCAAAACATGAGCAAGAGACATTTCCTGCTCCAAAGATCTTGCAATCTAATATAGAGGCAAGGGTGTCAAAGTCAAAATGCTGATTACTGATGCATATAGATGGCTGATGGCTCAACTCTTGAAGTTTGTATATAAGGAACAGATTATTTCATCATTATGAAACTATTTAGAGAATTTACAAAATGTCTTATGAATGGAAGAAGCTTAAGACATTTGTAACAGTTTGGTATTCACTGCAATAGCAAAACCATCTAGCTAGCTTGCTCTCTTGGAAAACTTTCTACCCCTCCAGTGCAAAAAAAAATTTGCAGGGTATTTTACCTTTCAATGTATTTCTCTATAGTATTCCTTTCTAAATTAGAGTATGGATTTACATGTTGGACCCATATGCCACCATGTGGATTTATCTCAACCACAGGAGGGATTTCAAGTTCGTTATGAGGATCTCTTACCCCGTTTGGAGTAGTCTTGGCTCCTTACTTGTCCACTGCAGCCATGGAACAGTTTGACATTTGAGACTAGTGCTTGTTGTGTTTCCCCGCCTAGGCAGCTAATGAAAGACCGATCTTTAGAAATGGTCAAGAGATCAATATGCATCCCAGCATTAGTTTTTGGAAAGTGAAGTCCTTTCTCCGCAGTGGGTATTCCTGAACTTGAGTTCCTGCTAATGATGGTACCAGGAAAAAGGTATCCTTAACTCGATTCAGCTCAGGATATATTGGCCTTTTGCATGGAAGGATAATCGGAACTAAACAGATGTAGATGAAGATAGTCATTTTGTTATTTTTTAAACGCAGTTAATTTTGTTCAGCCATATAACTAAAAACAGATATACCTCTAATAATGAGTAAACTATGCGAAATACATTGCATATCGTAGACAGTGGGTATTACTGAGCTGTGTGTCTGCTGTGGTCATTAGAGGGTTGTGAACCTTCAAAGATCAGGTTAAAATTAAATTCACAAGCATTTAATATTGGAACTGCTTTGCATTGGGCTCTGAAATAATAAAATAATAATAAAACAGAACAAAATGCACAAACCCCAAAACTGGGCTTAGAGAAACCTCTTATGAGAAATCTTATAGTAAAATTTGAGTTTGCTGGCTCACTGGACGTGTAACAAGCAGTCATACTGGGAATGAGTCATTTGACTTGGCCTCAGTGACTTTTCCCAATAAGCATTTCTTGATCTCTAAATTCACGGAGTTGCATCCTCAGTGTATACCGATAAAGGAAGTAGAGCAAAATAGCTGACAAACTGTGAAAAGTACCAATGACTTCCTCACTCTGGCTGCACTTCATTCTTAGTGATAGAATTCCTGTAGGAAGTGTAGCCCTAAGCCATTCTAAGATGACATCTAATGGTTGCTATAGTAACTCCTCAGGATTCAATTCTCTTTCTGGTCAAGCTCTAGAATTAGGTCATTGAGTAGAAACTGAACAAGGTGTAGGATGTATTTAGCTTGCAGCGTAGTGAAAGTCCTCTGCAGAAGGAGTAATGGATATGTGTGAACCCATCATTCCTGCAGAAATACAGTGAGGATGCTTAGACCTCTTGGGAAGTGGGCAGGACTTGACAAATCCACTTACCAATGGCAAGCAGAGACCTTTCCCTGGTGAGTGGGGAGACCTACGACATAAACTTCTGCAGAATTCCATCTTCTTTTGAAAAGAAAATTTGTTTATGGCTGTGATGATACCCTTCTAAATATGAACCAATGCTCAGTTCTCTGTTCTTGATTCTGTAGACAGCTCCAGTGCCTCTGTAGCTGCTAGTTTTCCCAAGCTGTTGTTGAGTGAAATGGACAAGAGTGGGCAGAAGTGAGGTTTTTACTCACGAAAGCTTATGCCCAAATAAATCTGTTAGTCTTTAAGGTGCCACCAGACTCCTTGTTGTTTTTGTAGATACAGACTAACACGGCTACCCCCTGATACTTGAAGAGTGGGCAGTTACAGCTTCTCACAGGATTCTGCATGGCAGTAGTGAGGGTGACCAGTTGATCCATTTAATTTAACTGCAGCTTGGTGGGGGGTGGAAGCTGCAAGCTGAAGCACAGACATTGGCACTATCCACCGGGGAAAAAAGGTGACCCGCAACAGTCAGTAGCTAGGACACTGTCTTACTGCAGCTAGGAGGCTTTAGGGTGGGAGAGGGGAAAATGTGCCTCTGCTCCCTGTTAGTAATCAGAAGGATTCTTGGGTGAGAGAAAATAGGCTTCACGTTTATCAGAGACTGACACAAATGTTTGGAGACCCCAGACATGGCCCAGGAGCGGCAGCATCTGCTTTCCCAGGAATTTTGATATACTTGGTTTCTGAACAGTGCTTTCCCTATGGAGCTTTCTGATGGCAGTGTCCTCTGTCTTTCTTACCTACTTCTCTTAATTTTTCTGGTCCTGGGTAAACCTAGGAGGACCAGATTGCCTGAGACAAAGTTAGTGCTAGGTGTGAAAGTAGATAATTTCTCTTATGGCTATTTTAAGCAGCTGTGTGTGAATCATACATAAACTGTTGTTGACCTTTTTTCCTGTTTGGTGTATACCAGAGTTCTAGGATTTTGTATATTGTCATACATTATTCTTGTGGAGTAGTCTAAATTGGTCTTCCCTTAATTAGTGCTGGGAGTATATAACTGGTTAAGATGGGTGTTCATGAAGTTAAACTATACCTTAAAAGTTATAAACTAAAGGAGAGTAGGTCATGATAAAAACAAAAAAAAACCTCTAATCCTTATTACTGATAGATTTGATACCCAAAGTAGATGTCTGTAGTGCTAGGCCCTGGCAAATCTTTAGTTTTTTTTTTTTTTCCCCTCCTTTGACTCTTCTCTCTCTACCAGAACTGTCAACATTCTAGGGTTGAAATATCAGACTCAAAATGAAGTATACAACAAAAATAGAATGAAAGTTTCAAATGTTTAATTACTTTAATAGTTTTAGTTATCTAGAACTTCATTGTCAGAATTCAGCTTTTCTGTTATCTATTTAATAGAGGATATATTATGGCTGAGATTTTTAAAGTAGTCTAGGTGACTGAGACATCTTCCATTGGTGGTGATGAACATTTGCATCTAAATTCACAAGCTGCTTTGAAAACTTTAATCCTTCAAATGTTGTCTCATTTCCAGAGGTATATTTGAGTTGGACTTTATGTAACTTGTGATCAAGTACAACTGGAGGTATATTATGGTCATTCTTACTATGGGACCCAAACCCATAACAACAGTATGATTCATGGAGCTTTTTACCTTTGCATTTTATTGTCACATACCTACCTTGACAGTTGCACTTCCAGCACAGTTAATAGCACGAGGCCTATATGGTGCTAACACTCCTGTCACCCAGGTGTCTGATTTAAAATACCTGTATTCTATAATTGTCTGGCGTTTATGCTTAAAATATATTTTTAAAAAATGACCCAAGCAGGATTCAAATCTGTGAAATGCTTCCACTAGAGACTAGCCCTCGAACTCAGAGTGCCACCCTGCTAGATGGGTATGCACTCTCTTGACAGATCTTCCTAAGTCTACAGTTGGGGTGAGTGGATTATGGCGATGTGGAGAGGCAGCAGCATGAATGTGTAGAGTGGCTGTGACTAACTGCTGTATTGATTA